ACAGCGCATGGTGAACCTCGAAGTGCAGATTTCGTGGCAGGCACAGCACTTGGTGAACCTCAAAGTGCAGATTTCGTGGCTCAGACGCTCACTCTCTCACTCTCCCACTCTCACTCTTCCCGCTTTCACTCACACTCACACTCCCTCACACTCCCACTCTCACTCACACTCGCACTCACACTCACACGCACACTCACTCAGCCACACACTCACCCATCTTCATCGCGCTCACTCAGTCTCGCGCTCTCACTCACACTCACACTCCCTCACACTCTCACTCTCACGCACACTTACTCTCACTCACACTCACTCTCACTCACACTCGCACTCACTCACACTCACTCTCCCACTCGCACTCACACTCACTCTCACTCTCACCCACACTCACTACCACCCACCTTCGCTCTCACTCACGCTCACTTAGACTCACACTCACTCTCACTCTCACCCACACTCACTCTCACTCACACTCGCACTCACACTCTCTCTCCCACTCTCACTCACACTCACACTCCCTCTCACCCACACTCACTCACACCCACACCACCATCACCTCTCTGGACCCCAATGCGTCTATATCTCTAGACTTTCTGCTTACAGACCTCACACACACACAGTTTGGGGTCTCTTGCCGGGATATTTTTTGTGGAATCATGAGCCCGTAGTTGTGGGTTTTGTTATGCTTTTGTTTGCGCTACGTTGTCCTCGGAGTTGTGTGTTTTTTGGTGCTTTTGGTTGTGCTGGTTTTTGTGGAATCACGAGCCCACAGTTGTGGGTTTTCTTGTGGTGTTGGCTGTGCCTTTTTTTGTGCTATGTTGCCCTGGGAGTTTGCAAAAATTGTGGCAGACATCCGGGCCAAAAGTCCACAAGTGCAGTTGCAGTTTTTGCTTATACTTCTTTCTAGTTGCCGCTTCGGCTCTCTGTGTGTGTGTGTCACCACCCGTCTCCAGGGACCCTACTCTCTCTTTATCTTTCATCGCTATTTCAACATGGTTGCAGCTTCTCTCCAATTTGCCAAATAGGGGCCAATCCCACTTTGCAGTCGATTGCCCAACGAAGAGGGCTGCAATAGTTGTCGATTGGACAAAAACGCTTTGCAGACGTACCTGCATCGCATGACTTAAGGCTTACCATTTGCTCAGGGCCATGGATAGGTACAGGTCTGATTGCACTAGTTGGCCAATGCACTAACTACTCAAAAAGGGTTAATGCATCTATGGGGTCACCTTGAACTACAGGTCAACAGTTCCAATCGCAGGTACGTCGGCAAGCGTCCTTGCCGATATCCTAGGATCATGTGAGGAGCTTCGTTGGATGGAGCCTCACATGTCCTCTCCATCCTCCTGCGTCATGACTCGGAGTTGTTACAAGAACTCTTAGAGACAGAGTGTGACACACACTTGAGAAGGTTGCTCCGTGGAGCGCGATTTCAGGCTGCTTCGCGCTGTGCATTAGCCCTTTAAGTGAATACTTAGCACTTGACCGAAAGGAAAATGCTGGGTCGGTCGAACAGAATTGTTGAAACATCGGATGACTGAAGATTAAAAATTGAATTAAAATTGAATTAAGCAGGTACGCTGGGATGATCAGTCCCAGTATCACCAAGGCTTGGAGAGCGTCTTCGTTGGTGGTAGACTCTCTGCCTTGCTACCACCCCCTGCTGCTGTACATTGGTCAGGAAGATCATAGGGTAGGTTAAAAACAGTTAGGGTAGTGTCCTTGGAAACAGGAGTGGACACACACAACGAGCCGAATCGGCGCAACTAGACCAGATCAGAAAATACCTGGGTAAGAAATAGTGGTAGAGCCGGACGTCGAAAAGGAACTTGTAGATTATAAATCATAAAAAGAAGTGAAGGACTGCAAGTCTGCCGGCGCATGGTCTTTTCCTCGTGGCCGCAGCGCCGCGGCGCAGTGTTCTTTGGAATGACCTTTTGTCACATAGAGCTGCGTCAACTGCTGTGCTGTGGCAGGTGCGAGGTGCTGTGGGTATGTGTATTTTTGTAGGGTGTGGTGACGTGACTGTAAGCCTGAAAGGCGTAGTCTGTGACTCCCCGCTGACTGCGGATCACGAATCTGCCAGGGATGTGTGGGGAGTAGAAAGGTGACGGTTCTGTTGAGGGGATCGATCAGGAAACCAAGGAGATGGTCGTCGTCCACTGGCTCTATTTCGACTGGGTGTTCATAAAATTCGGGATGGGCCAGTGTGGTGATGGGGAGTGCTGATCTGTATTGTTCGTTGAGCGGGATATAGCGGTTGTCCACGTAGCGTGTGTTGAGCAGGTGAAGGCTGGGTTGGTGCAGAAAGGTGTGGTAGGTGGTTTTCCAGGTGTGTTCGATGAGCGTGATTGCAACGTTGCAGAGTGCTGGTGAAAGCTGACTACCAATGCCTGCTCCTTGAATTTGTTTGTAGTAAGTGTTACAGGCTTGAAAAATGCATGATTGAAGGGCTTGTTGTACAATCAGGGGGATGTGTTGAGTGTCGAGTGTGCGTTGTTGTGGGTGGTGAATGTAGTGTCGACCGATGTGGGAGTGTTGAATGGGATTGCCGGTGGATTGGACGTCAATGGTGATGGTGGTAGTGGCGTGTTGAGCTTTCCAGCGATTGCATAGGCTGATGACTGCGTCGACGAGACGTTGTTGGGGTACACTGTTGAAGAAGCCAACAAGGTCATCATTGATCGGTGTGAGATGAATGTCATCAGGTGTTGTTTGGAAGTGGTTGTGAAGTTGTTGCCATAGGTTGGGGATGGAAAGTTGACCTGGATGTTGAGGCAGAAGATGAAGAAGCATAATGTCCAAGGCCTTGGAGGTGGCTCGCAACAATGTGCCCGCTATAGATTTGAAGTAACTGATGACTGTTCTTCCTTTTCGCCATGACTTCTTTTGTTTGAGGAAGACTACTCCGTGTGGTGTGTGGAATTGTTTGCGGAAACCCCATGGGTAAGCTCGGCGTATGTTGGCGGGGAAAGATTGAGTGAGCAGTTGGTGGAGTTGTTGGGCCGTGAGATCTGGTAGTGGTAGAAAAAAGTTGTGGTGTGTTCCAAGTGGTGAGACATCCGTGGAAATAGTGTTGTGGGCAGAAAAGCCGTAGATTTTGTAGTTCGTGATCGGCGTGATGTAACACCAGCTTGTCTGTGAGGAATTGCTGCAGTTGTGTGACATTGCGTGATGTGAATCGTGGTGTGTGTAGGATGTGGTCAATGTGTTGTTTCCATTGTTGGTGTAGGAAAGGTAGGCTGTGTTGGTGAAGGGCGGTAGGTAAACCATGGTGTCGTAGCCATTGAGTAAGTTGTTGTTGGAAGTGTTGAAAATATTGTGTCTTCGTGGGAAAGAAAGTGCTGTTCATGTTGGCTTGTAAAAAGATTCGAAGATGGCTGGGTAGCTGCAGGTCCTCGAGTGTGAGCACAAAGTGGCCATCGTAGAGCGGTGGTGTGTGGTTGGGTCGAAGTAGGGAGTGCATGTGGTGGCAGCTGCATGGCACGTCGGCCGCTGAGGGTTGCGCTGAGAAGAGTTCCTCCCACCGTTTGCGATTGTACAGCCTTGATCGTAAGGTCTTGCGCGCTGCTTCGCGTAGTTTTGTGGTGGGTGGATGGAAAGGTATGACGTGATGCATGTGGTGTTGAATCAATGCGCGAAGCCATTTTTCAGTAGAGGAAGAGAA